GCAGCCTCTTCAGTAGCTGGGTTACAGACCTGTACCTCTAGGGCTGGCTTCATGTGTCCTTATGAAAGGCATGGGAATTATTTCTGTATGTTCAAGTGGGTCCCTTCACCTTTGTTGAGTAACAAGTATACCTGTCTTAGACAAAGATTTCGTAGCCATTTAATGAATATATCTAGTCTATTTTGCTGTCTTTTAGCTTAGCCACATGAACCAATATTTTTCTTAGATGTAGTATAAAACCCCACACAATTCCTTGAAGGAAGAAAAATTAAGTAAAACTATCCCTTAATATTTTCTTGAAAGTCAGGTACTTTGACTATGAAAAAAGGAGTAAATTGCTATTTGTACTTTGTATGAAGTAGCTACCAGTCTTGCAATTGCCAATTCACAATTTATCCCAACTCAAATCACTAACTGGTGGGGCCCAAGAGGTTGCCCTGTGTTATTTGGTGTACTTATGAGTACATAAGTAAAGTATCATGAAAAACAAAAAGAGTATGCCCTATTTTTTAAAAAAATAAATATTTTAAAAATCTTTTCAAGACAGTGTCTCATTGTATAGACCAGCCTGGCCTCAGCTTGCCATCATGCCTCAGCATCCCCAGGGCTGAGACCACACTTGGCCTGAAAATCCACATTCCTGACACATAGGCAATCAGTACTGATTTCAGAGAACTGACTGAAGTCTGCTTGAGTGCAGGGTGTGTTGTCATGTGTTATCATATTCTGCCCATCCTGAATGGCCTGCTGTTAAGTACAGACCCCAAGATCGACAGATGTCATGAGCAGAAGCCAGGTACAGCTTTAGCATGCTTGTTTCAGAAAATATGCTTTCCTTCCTTCTGTTCTGAACCCATTAAAGCCCAACGGGGAGAATCATGGTCCCTTACAATCCTGCTCTACCATTGATCATGTCTGAGAACTTGGGCAGAGGCCAAGCTCTTGATCTCCCTAAACATGTCTCCACACTTGTCAAATGAGTAAATACTTGCTGTCCCAAGCCTTGGGGTAGTGGTGAGGCTCTAAAGGGGTATGAAGGAAAGACTTTGTCAAAAGGGCTATAAATGACCCAGTCTTTCTCCAGAGCCTCTGTCTGTTAAAAAAAAAAAAAAAAAAAAAAAAAAAAAGGAAAATGATCATTAAGTAACACTTTAACCAGGTATCCAGAAAGTGGTAAAATGAAAAGCAAGAGCGGACAGGAGGGGCTCTGTCCCAGTTAAGTGATTTATATCTTTTACCTTGTTTAATATCTACAGCAAGCCCATGAGTCAGTTATTACTCCTATACTTACTGATCAGAAAACCTAAGAATGAAACAATATTGTATAAGGTTCATGTGAATCTTTATCATTCATTAACATGAGTACTCAGTGCCAGGATATACAACTGTAAATATGGAAGGAGGATCCCAGACAAAGCAGCTCTGAGGCCAACGTGCTATGGAGGTCTATCAAAGGGTAAAGGGGACATTTTATTTAACCTCATACTGCTAAATTTCTTTCTTTACATATAGATGCTGCCCTGCCGGGAAGTCCCTAAGCTGTTCTTTTTAAATATCTGTAGGTCTCAGCCATGACGCCAAGTTGCCTGTGCCAGGGCTTCCCCACCCTGGGCTGGCAGTCAGGAACCAAGTGGTAGAAGCTTGTTTGAGGGTGTGATTATCTGAGAAGAGAATGCCTCCAGGAAGCCTCATTTCTGGGTGAGTCAGCCAGCATCATAGCCATCACTGAATGCTGAACTGGGTAGGTTCCGGAAATGAAGTCAGTAGTGAAAAAAGCCAAGACTCACAGGATTGGAATGCCACTTGTTCACTCTCTCTAGAGGATAAGACAGGCCAGCATTTAAGGCACCGATTTTCATTCTGAAAGTGGATTCCTTTTAAAAATTTCTCAGCGATTGTTTTAGCGACAGACAGTTGGCTATTGGGGCAGGATGGAAGAGTTGAGAAAAAGGGAGCCAATGCCAGCTAAGAAAAGTGGACAAGAGGAGGGTCACACAGACCTAGGCTCTGGTACAATCTAGATTACTAAACTAGTGCCCCAACACTGAGTCCTTTCCTTGTGTCTGGGGAAAGTCCAAAATGACGATAAATTGGTCTTTGTGGAGGCATGCTTAACGAAGGCAACAAAACCCGAGAGTACCAATGTTGCTGAGCAAGAGTTGCCTTGATTATAAACAGTTTGCATACACTGGAGGTCATTCCTCCCCTTGCTCTCCCCCCCCCCCCCGCGCTCCTTCTCTCTCTTT